TACCATCTTTGACTCTCCTTTCCCTCATTTGCCACCTCTAAACTATCAGTAAATTCTGTCAGCTTTATTTCTCAAGTATATTCTAAACCCATTCTCTTCTCTCAAGATCCAGTCTAATAACTCTAAACCAAGCCATCATCTCCCACCTAATTACTGCAATGACCTATTAACCTGCTTCTCTACTGCTATTCTTTCCTCCATCCCTCCAAAATTTCTACTCCCACAAAAAAAAGCTAGGAGAATAAGGATGTCTGCTTCATTCCCCCAGGACATAAAACAATGTCTGTCTCACAGTAGGCACTCAATGTATGCTGAGTGAAAAAACAAAGTCATCTCCCCTGCCCTTTCACAGCTAGTCTCCCGCCATGTAGAACAGAATCCACACTTAATACAATGCTTTCCATTATCAGGCCTCCCTCACCTTACATCTCTGCTCACCGTGCTCCAGACTCTCTGCCTGTGACATTCCTCAAACTCCCTAAACTCATTTCTCCCGTGGAACTGTTTCTGTACCCCTCTGCCTGAACACTCCTCCCTCATCATTTTATCATTCAGGTCTCAGTGAAGTGTTAATTTCCTCAGAGTGGCCTTCTCTGACCAGCCTACCCAAAGCAAGTTTTTCTACTTATCCTCTCCCATCTCATCCTGTTTTCTTTTCTTTGTAGTACTTAACACTAACAAAAGTTGCTAGTTTTCTTATAGACTGTTTATCTCCACTAGAATGTAAGGTCCCTTAGACCTAGAATCTAATCTTTCTTGTTTAACGATTTATCCTCAGAATCCAGTACATGCCTACCACTCACAAAGTGCTTACCATGTGCTTATGTGCCAAGCACTATGCTGGGTAACAACATGGATTTTTTTAATTAAAGAAAAATAGAAACTACAAGTAAAATATTAGTATAAAGAGCAATTTGATGTTCTTTTTATGTTGAGCATTCCCATTCTTAAAATGAATAACCTTATACAATAAATTCCACTTCTTAGAATATTATTTTGCCAGTGTAAAATATAAATATCCTGCCCTGGCTAGTTTGGCTCAGCAGTTAGAGCATGGGCCCAAAGGATCAAAGGGTCGAGGGTTTGTTTGATTCCTGGTCAAGGGCATGTACCTGAGTTGCAGGTCCGATCCTCAGCCCCAGTTGGGATCGTGTGGGAAGCAGCTAATTGATGTGTCTCTCTCACATTGATGTTTCTCTCTCTCTCCCCCTTCCGCTCTATCAAATAAAAAATAAAAAAAAAAAAAGGTCAATGGAAAAATTTCCTTGGGTGAGGATTAAATATATATATAAGTCATAATAATCAGTAGCTTTAGAAATTACCTAGAGGACAACATTCTTCATTTTTTTTAATCCACAATTTGAGGGAAAGGATGAAGCTATCACTCAATAAAATAGTATCTAGGAGTCTTCACATCTTCATCTTTTTCTCAGAATAAATATATAACACATTTCATCCAGTCAGAAAAATCATGACTCTGTAAAGCCTATCTGTTCTCAACATACAGAAATATTCACAACATGACAAAGAGGTTGTCAACTCACCATTTATTGCCTGAGCTCAAATTAACTTACCAGCTTCAATCAAGCCAAGAAGTGCTAAAGCTTCAATTACTAATCAAGTTCATTTCACAAAAGTCATCACCAAAGTTGAGATTAACCCCTCACACCCCTCCTAATGGCTATTATAAAAGAACATGTCCAGTTGAATTCAGGCAAAAGCATTATGTTTCATTGTTACCAGAGTACTTTTAGGTCCATCTAATTCAGAACCACAAGCGGAAACTTTAGTATTTAATGTAATCATACCAATTACTACCACTATCATTATGACATCACTAAATACATTGTGGCAATGCATCAACTAGGAAGAGGCAGATTTAAAGGCTCAACTGCACAAGTGAGTGACATTTCTTCAGATCATGTAAGTGTTTTCTATAATATTTTATTTTTAGCACACGTTAAACTGGCATATCATACCTCCAAATGTTTTAAAGTTGAATATGTTAATATTTTTAAGGTATGATTTATAAAAATTCAATATAGCTAGGTATAAGTAATCAAAATACACTATATCATACTAGATTTTTAATACCTGAAGGAAATACATCCATCCTTTGTCCAACTTTAAAACTATTATACATTTTTAATAATAGGGTATTCTCAAACAATTAACCAAATGCATAAAGACATACCACATGCTCTATTTAAAATTAGCTTTCTAACCACACTTGTCAAGCCAATAGAAAAAACGGGGGGAGGTGTTTGTACAGAAATATAAGAAAATATTCATCTTATTTTCCTATAAACACAGTTACTCTATAAAGCTGAAAAGATGTTGCTAAAGCCAGCAAAGTTAAATCCTAAAGCAAAGGTCAAAAGATCAGTATTTTCCAAACCGCATGTTATTATTTCTATTTATTTTACCGCCATTACTTTAAAAAGAAAGTTTCCTTCAGTTTTTTAGAACACTGGTTCTATATAATACCTTTGGGTTTCCCTTTAGTCTAGTTACATATTTGTATAAACAAACCATTTTAGGACAGCTAGAATTAACCCACATATTAAGATAAACTCTTTTAAATACCAGAAATTATTTATCCCTATCTTCACACTGGCCCTCAAGACCAAATGATTGCTGACAAATTCAATCACAAGATTGGTTCCCTTTGTTTTCAGAAAAACTCTAAAATCATTCTAGTCAGTCAAAAGATGTACTGGTCAATATTTCAAAAATATAAATTTTCTTCAAATTCTCAGAAAAGAAAAAAATCTCTACAGTAATTAATTCAGAGGTCGTTATCCTGACCTTAACCATCTGCTCATTTGCTAAAGAAACCACTCAAAGCTTTTCATCTAATGTATAACATTTTTAAAACCAATAAAAAATAAGTTTAAATATTTGTGCAAGAAGAGAATAAATATAAATAATGTCATCACTATTACTATAAAAGTAATCAATTATCAGCATAGAGCTTAAAATTTTTATTGGAAAGGCGTGTCCTGACTTACCAACAATTTATCACTATCAAAGCTCAGATAAAATATACGCTTTGTGAAGAAGTACTGTCCAAATTCCTTAAACTTGGGTAGTACAGTATTTATAAAGTATCTTCTTCCATTATATTCTTCACCATAGCAAAGCTTTAGAGACTGCAATAGAATCTCAAGGCTTCAGTTACTTAACTTCTAAGACTATAATGTTTTCACTCTCATAGATATAAAAATGGAAAAATTGATACAATGCATGGATGATACTATACTCCAAACATGTTATTATTACAAATAAACTTTAAGAAGTTAAGTTACAAAGACATGACAGATGGCTTTTGACATGAAGAGATCGTTTAAACCACTCCCTCTAGCCTATTAGGAATAAATAAATGTCTTCTAACGCGTAAGTTACTTTGATTTCAGGATTTGTAAATATTCAATAAGCATCAAAAACCTCTCAACTGCTGTCTCCTCTTCTTAGGACAAATACTATGTATTTTAGAGAAAAATAATTACCTAAATTTTTTTACTATTGTTTCTAAGAGTGTTGCATGACCAAATTTAACAAGATGATTTCAAATCTAATCCTGGGTTTTTAATTTATATATCTCTAGATAATATACAGTATGGTGACTACAGTCAAAAATACTCTATCATATGCTTGAAATTTGCTAAGAGGGTAGATCTTAAGTGTTCTTACCACACACCAAAAAACAAAAACAAACAAAAAAATCTGAGGTGATGAAAATGTTCACTTGTTAGATTGTGAAGATCATTTCACAATGTATACATATCAAAACATCAAGTTGTGCACCTTAAATGTATATATACAAGTTCTATTTGTCATAAAATTGCATTTTTTGACATTTTAATTAGCAATCTTCTGAGTTTGTATCAGATACATTTTAAAGAGCAGAAAATAGTACTAGCAAAAAAAAAGAAAATAACACTTCCAAATGCTGCTTCTGCTTTTTTATTTTGCAAATAGCTTTGAAAAATGTATACAAAAATATCAGTTACATAAGTTGAACTCAAACATTTATGAAACAAATTTACTTAATAGGAGTACTAGAACCACCTAGAAAAATGTATGTATGTACATATGGATTTCTTTTCTGCATAAAGGGTCCATATAACTTTCAGCTTCTCAAAGGGGTTCAAAATTCAATTAAGATTAAAGTTCCTGGAAGAACTGTCAACTTCAGACAACTTGTCAAACACTACCCTACCTTCTTTTTATCCCAAATTAGGGTAAGATTTATCTTAATTTGGTGGCTCCTACACAACTTCTGAGTGATGCTGGCATGAAATGGCTGTCCTACACAAGCAGCTCCCTTCGTACACCCAAGGCGGCAAACCCCAAAATTTCCTTGCAGGGGAAAGGGAGGGGCAAAAGGACTGCAAATGAGTTAACACCCTCATTGCTCAAAGATCGATTGGCTCTAGCAGAACGTGTCATTACCCTGACTCCAGAGAGGGCTGCGGGGAGGTGACCAGCTTTCAGTGCGGAGCAGAAGTCCCATCGGGGGTGATCTGCAGCGACCGCATCACCAGCAGCCTCCTCCCGCCCCAAACGCGCCCTAAAGCAGAGGCTGCAGGCGTGGGAGCCCCAAGTCGCCGCCGCCGCCGCTGCACGGTCGCAGCGACCTTCCCGCCCGGGTCCCCGTGAGCCCCGTTATCCACGGCCGCCACACACCCCACAAGGGAAAGGGAGGAGGTTGAACAACAAAGCCCAACCCGAAGAGGCCCAGGAGATCTTCAAGTTGGGGCTGGAGGGCCGCGATGTGGGCGGACAGGGCCGGGAACGCGGCCCGCCAGATGTCAGCCCTTGGGGTCGGGGTGTCGGCAGCAAGAAGGACGGGCGGCGGGCGGCGGGCGCGCGGCAACGTCGGGGAGACGGCCAGGGGAAGCCAGGCCGGGGAGGGAGGCGGCGGCGGCGGCGAGGTCCCGAAGCGCAGCGGTCGGCCGCGACCCCCACCCCAGCCAGGGGGCTGTCCCGTTACTCACCCGCTGGGAAGCTGCGGGCTCCGCCCGGGCTGTCTCGGCCGCCGGCCTCCGGGGCCAGGAAGCGTCCCCACATCGCGGGCGGGAGGGCCGGTGGGCTGGGGCCGCCCGACTCCCCACGTCCGTTCTCCTCCGCCGACGTCTCCTGCTTCTTCGGCGGCGGAAACTTGTGCGGAGCCTGGGCCGCGGCAGCACCGGCGGGAGGGCGGCTGGTCAACGGCCGCTCAGCGACGAGCGGAGAGCGCAGGGGTCAGATTCACCGCGGCGGCGGCAGCGGCTGCCATGGCTGAGCCGGCTGGGCTGAAGCCCCGGCCCGGGAAGCGACGGCTCCGCGGTGGCGGCGGCTCCGCGGTGACGGCGGCTCCGTTCCCGGCTGAGCCCAGGCTCAGCGGCCCCACACGAAGTTGCAGCTGCAGCTTCTCTCAGCCCCCTCCGCCCGCGGAGCCGGAGCCGGAGCCGGAGCCGGCAGGGGCGGGGCCTGGCGGGGGCGGGGCCTCGGGAGCTTACATAAGGCGCGCGCGGCGCAGGGGGCGGGGACTGCGGGCGGGTCGCGGTGGGTACCCTCTTAGTTTTGCTCCGCCGGCGGCGACTAGGACGGCCGGACCCGCCAGCTGTGTCCCTTCTTCCCCATCTACGCACCCTGCAATATAAGAAGAAGGCGATGACGTGGCCCCGGACCCCATCTTCAGTAACACCCTCCCTTGAGTAATCCCTGAGGCCCTGCAGGGAACCTCTCCAGAGAGACCTGGACGGCCTGCCTTCGCTGCACAACGGCTGAGATAAAAACTAATCTGGAAGGGGTTGAGGGACTCCCAGTCTCATTTGGGATTGGGATTAAAATCACCATCGTGCATTACACAAACTTCCTGTATAGATCACTGTGAGGGATGAAAAGAGGTTTTCTTCACCGTAAATTCACTGGAGAGGGAGACAGGTAACAAAATAGCTACAACACCGGGATGTGCGCAGTTAAAAGCAGAGACAAAAAAAGACCCAAGGGTAATTAGTACCGGAAAATTCTGGGAGAGGCGGTCAATTTTAATCTAGTCGTCCACGGTTTCAGATAAGCAAACAAAAAGGAGTCAAAATGGCACCAAAGTATGTACAGTAATGGGAGTGCAACTCGCTTTACCACGCACACCTTCACATTCCTCCTCCACCTGGTCAGTTCCCACCCTCCAGCTGAACCCAGAGTGCAGGTATCCGGAAAAGGATGCAGCGTGCTCTTTTCAAATCTTACTTCTCGTTGTCAATATTATCCTTCCACCATTTAGATACAAAATAGTTTAGTCAATAAATACCAGTCGAGCACTGTAGGAGGAGGGCCCTGCGCCTGTAGGATGAATCAGAGGTAAACCGCAAAGCAAGCCTCTGTGTACAACAGACTGAGTCTAGTGAGGTTTTTCCCTGTTTGGGGAGTTTGCTAACCAAGGCTTCATATTTGTATTTAACCACCCTAAAATCGGGAAACACTGCTTTTAGAGATTAAATTACAGTCTATCACACATTTGTGTTGTAATTTATCTGATTGCAGCTATACATTTAGTCTCTCTCTGGTCAAGTTAACAGAAGCTATAGAACTACAGTTGACTGTTGAACAACACAGGTTTCAACTGTGCAGGGTCCACTTATAGGCAGCTTTTTTTCAAAAAATATACAGTTGGCTCCTCTGTATACCCTGGGGTTTCCCATCTGCACATTCAACCAACTGCAGATCAAAAACTGCATTTTTCATCTGCAGTTGGGAATACGTGGATGGGGAGGGCTGACTGTATGCATTGTTCTATGCTGTTTTATATAAGGGTCTTGAGCATCTGTGGATATTGGTATCTTCTGGGGTCCTGGGACCAATCCCCGGTGGATAGGGAGGGACAACTAGAAAGTCAAAAGTTAGACCCAAAATTTCTACTGCATGGGATTTGTGCCCCCACCCCAGCTGCTCAAAGATCAACTGTATATCAAAGTATTCTTATTATCATGATTTACAGTTACCATAATCTCATATTAAGTACATTTATTAAATACCAAACTTGTTTTATACATTTCTGAGAAAAAATAAAACATTATGTTACCGAAAAGGGGACCTGGCCCTTTGCGGGTCTAGTGTACTGGCCTGTCTCAATTACACATATACCTTGGTCCTTTGTGAGTTTAATAAATACTTGTTATTCCAAAACTCTGCCACTGCCACTCAATCCTAAACAATATTTTTTTTAATCGTTTACTCCAGTTTTCTACATGTTTTTATCAATGTGAAGTGCATGCTATACTATACACACACACACACACACACACACAAAAATATATATGAAGTTGAGACTATGTAAAATATTTCAATACCTATTATAAAGGCAAATAGTACAAAAAAATGTTGCTATTTTTGCAATTGGCACCAAAGAGCAACATTTTTGTCTTCCTACTAATTAAACTTGGAAGAACAGAGATCTAATGCAATTAAAATAATTGAAATACTAAGGGAAAATATTATGTATATGAAGTAAACTGTAACCATCCATTTTTTTAAACATATGGATTCTGAGTATATACTGAACTGATATTTCCCCCACATCCATGATGCACCCACTATCCATGGTTCTCAGAATGATTAAAGTGTATCATAACACAGATTCAGAGCCTAAGCACTACTTAACCATTACTAAACCTAATGTAAACTGGCATATTTTTGTTTTGTTGTGACAGACTGTAACGACCATAAAGAGACTCTCACAAGGACATTTGTTATTGGACTTCAGTATTTTGGTAGTTAGTCTTATAAGCAGAGATAATATAAGCAATAAAAATAGTGACTGTGCAAATTTGGTTGTTTATGTGAAATTCAGATACTTAATGTTTTGTACAGAAACTTTTAAAATATAGAAAATAGATCACAAAAAGAAAATAGTACTAAAAACACCATATTTAATATCAAACCATATTAAACTTTTTATTTAAAATATTACATTGAAAAGGGATTGTTTAAAAATGAAAAATAAATGTTCCATTCATAAATCTGAAATTCTTTTTATATGAATCTCTGAACCAATTAAGTTGAACTTAACAAGTATTTTTCTTATATAAATTTATCATATTGAGAAAACATCCGGAGAACTGAAGAGAGATATAACAATGGATTAATATTTTTAAATTGGAAGAAAATCATGTACATAATATGGGGAAACCTCAACAGAAGCTAATGTTTACAAAAATAAAACATCTTGTCAGCCAGTGTGGCTCGGTTGTTGAGCATCGATCCATGCACCAAGAGGTCACTGGTTGAATTCCCAGTCAGGGCACATGCCCAAGCCAAATCCCCAATGTGGGGCATGCAGGAGGCGGCCAACTGATGTTCTCTCTCATTGATGTTTCTATCGTTCCCTCTCCCTTCCTATCTCTCTAAAATCAATAAAAAAGTTTTTTTTAATAAAATACCAAAACAAACAAACTGTAGAAAAATCTAACAAACCAATAATGATTAAAATAGTCTCTAAAGAACAATGTCATTTGATAGAAACAGATTTGTAAATGAAGCCTAAAAATTCCAAGGAACAAATAATTCTGGTGTAACAAGGGTATAATAAGGACCGTGATATATAACCTCTTCCAGATCACAAAAAGGACAAGTTACTGAATTTATTATGGGTTGCTATAATCTCAAATAATCAGGTATAATAATGAAAAAAGAAAACTAAGAAACAATGTCTTTGGACGATTAATTTGAAAATCTTAATTGGATTCCTAACAAATACATTCAACTATACAAAGATGAGTTGAAGACCTGTAGGTTACTGAACGTATCTGTGCCTCAATTTCCTCATTTCAATTTAGGAATTATAATAGCAAATACCTCATAGGATTGTTGTGGGGATTTAAATGAGTATTCCTTAGAACAATGCAAATGTGCACCCTATATTGGTGATAAGGGCAATCAAGAAATGGAGCTCTGTCATACCTCACCAAAATAAATAGATAAATAACATCCATTAGTATATCCAAGTCAGTTGTAGATGATGCTTTGTATATATCTATTAGAATAGAGTAAAGTACTGATTGACATCTTTTCCTGACCTTTTAGGGTTACTAATTATTCCAAGGATTATGGTGAAATGGTACACTCAAGAAATATTTAATTCTTTGAGGCCAAGTTCATTAACGCCTTCATTCTAGTCTGTGATTCCTGGAATTCCCCCTGTAGATATCTACCTAGCTACTGGGTTTCCTGTCCTGCCTGGCACTACCAAATTAAAGGAAAGAAGAGTAGGAAGAGGTAGGCGGGTGGTATGGCCAGACCAAGAGAGCATCTCAAGGCCCTGATTCCTGGGAAATACAGAAAATGAATTCTACCTGCACCTTTGGTTCCGGAGTTGGGTTGCAATAGCCAATGAGAAAAAAAGGCAAGATATGGACCACTGAATCATGGATCAGTTCTTTGTGTGGGAGGTGAGGCTGGGAAGGATGGAATTCACCCAAAGTCTTCTAAGGGACCATCAATATTTACTGAAACTGCTTAGCATTAAGGTCTGTGTCAATGAAATTTATTGTGGTCACTACCCAGTCATGCTGAACCTATAGAAAATATGAAGGTCATTTACAATAGAAAAGGACAGCAATCTTGACAATGTATGAAGAAGAAAATTTTTCTCTGCCTGTCTTCTTTTCCAGATACCAGGAGGATAAAAGGAAGGAGGGAAGTATAGAGTTCAAGAAAGCAGAGCATGCCTTTACTACATACATACACTCACTCCTACCTAACCTGCACTAGTGGAGAAGAGGCCTGTTAAAATAACTGAAAATGTCCAAAACATTATAGAATTGGATTAAGATGTACTCAGTGGAAAGGGGGATTTTTAATAGAGTACAACTAGTGACTTAGAGTATATATGTTCAATGATTTGAGACTTCTCACTAAAAAGTTACATATTTTCTGTAATCCTCAAAACAATCTGTTATCAACAGTTAATATCAGCTCCATTTTAAAGATTGAGAAAGAAGACCCAGAGAAGTTAAGTAAGGCCTACAGGCAGTAAAGAGCTAGAATTCAAATCGAATCCATATGACCCCAAAGTCCATGTTCTTCCCATCATGCTGCTCAACATGTTGCAAAACAAAAATTATAA